TAAAACTTTGTTGATTTATTTCTTTTTGCTTGCTTTAGATTTAGTTTACTATTCTTTTACTAGATTCTTAAGGTGAAAATTTTAGTTGTTTTGAGGTCTGCCTTTTTTTTTTTTTTAAACGAAGGCATTTATACCTATGAACTTCCCTCTGAGTACTGTTTTCACAACATCCTATAAGTTTTGATATATTGTATCTTAATTTTCATTCATCTCAAAGTATTCTCTAATTTTTCTTGTGATTTCTTCTTTGACTCATTGGTTTCTTAGGAGTATGTTGCTTAATATCCATAAAATATGTGAATTTCCCAAATTTCCTTGTTATTGATTTCCACTTTCATTCCATTGTGGTCAGAGAAGATATTTTGTATGATTTTTAAGCCTTTTAGATTTGTTGAGAATTGTCTTATGATCTAACATCTCATCTAACCTGAAGAATGTTTCATGTGCACTGGAGAAGAATGAGTATTCTGTTGTTGGGTTCAGTGTTATGTAGATGTTGATGTGGGGCTGCAAGTGAACAGTCAAGAAAGATTCTTGAGACATTTTTGGTGCAAAAAGGTGCTTTCTGTCTATAGGGACAGGACCTTCGGGCAGAAAGATTTACACTTTTGCTTTATGAATCTGGTGGTTATATGCTTAATGCTCAAGGGGAAGAGGACATGTAGGGAGTATTAGATCATGAATGTTTCTTCAAATTTCTACTCGTAACACTACTTTTGCAAGATTTCTCTAGTGCTTATCATTCAATTCGATATTAACTATCAGTGAGATATACAGGCAGACATGAGACCCTTTAAGAATGTAGCAACCAGCACTTAATTTGATCCTTATCAAAATTATGCAGGCCATAGGTCAGCCTACTGGGTTAAAGGTGAACATTTTTTTGCTTCTATCCTTCATCAGATGTCTGTTAGGTCTCTGTTTTTGTGGTGGGGCATGCCTTCAACACTAAACCAGGAAGTTTAAAATTCTGCCTTAGCATTCACTTTCTGCTTATGCGGAGGTGAGATCTTAGAGCCTTCTCAGATCTTTCCTGAGATTATGCATGAGCCTATGCATGTGCCTGGTCTTGTAGATTTCCAGAAAAATGTTGGAGCTTTTCAAACCCCCTGTGGATGTCTCATTCCTCAGCTTGCCCTTTTGAGCTCCCTGGCTAGTCTCTTGTTTGCCCCAGCTGCTACCCGTTACCTCAGGCAGACTGATGTTTAAAAATTCAACTAACATAGCATAACATAAAGGAGAAGGCTTTAGCACTGAAAGAGACTCAATGAAGTTGAATAAAGATGAGCCTTTCGAGTGGGGGCTCTTCTAAGGTACCACTAACCAGGTCAGATAATGGTTTCCCTTTGGGAATGAGGCTTTCAAAGATCTCCAGCCCCACTCTGCTCCCTCTGGTCCTGGGAGTGCATGCTGTTTTTTGGGGTTTTTTTCAAGGTTGCTGCAGAGCTGGAGAGCAGGAGATGAGACTAGAGTAAGTTAAAATGCCAGAAGATTGAGATGTTTGTCATGACTATATGCAGCCAGAATTGCTACAAGCCTTTGGTTAACTTCCAGAGTACCCGAAAAGTTGGTTCTGACACATTTTGCCATTTTTCTCAGTTTTCATGGAGGGGAAAATTTCTGGAGGTCCTTACTCTGCCATTTTCACTGGCATCACTGATAAAGGAAAGACATTAGGGTTTGAAGCCAACGGCCAAGAAAGAATTCTTGAGATGTCTTTGGTGCAAAAAGATGGTTTTATTAAAGCATGGGGACAGGACCTGTGGGCAGAAAGAGCGGCACTGGGGTCATGAGGAGTGACCCATTATGTACTTTCAAGTTGGGAGGGGGTTAGGGATGGCATAAGCCTCCCAGGTATTTTGGAAACAAGGTTTCCAGGATCCTGAGGGGGCTAGCTATTGTTGGGAAAAGGTTATTTATTATTGTTTAGTAAACCCTCGGTCATGAGACCCTTCAGATGTATATGCTTGGAGGATGATTGCCAACATGTATCTTGGTGGAGGTGGGGGGGTTTGAGATAAAGGAAGTTTCCAAAGGAATTTTTATGTTAAAGTAGACTTACAGCATCCTGGGGGTTGGGCCTAACTTTGCCTTTTGCCCTTTGCAAAGTATTAACATGGATTAACATGGAGGCAGCTGAGTTCCTAGAGGAAGGTCACTCTGCCTGTTGCAAGGACTTGTCAATGGGCTGTAAATAGTGAGGAAATTTAATAATTTTTCTTTGCCTTTGTTTCCCACATCATTACCACCTTCAGTTTTTTAATGGGGTCCTGGGGTACCCATGGTGTGAGGGGGCAGTCATGTAAGGTTTCTAATAGTGATGTTGAATCATTTCTTTTCAGTTGATCAAGAACAAACATCTTTAGCTTTGCTGTTATTATGTAATAATTCAGTGATTTGGCACAATGAAATGAGTAGCTAAATCATTTTTTCATTCTTTCAGGGATTTAAAATATAAAATTGCTTTTGAATTTATGTAAATTCTGTTGTTGAGAAGAAGAAATTGGGAGGAATTCTGAGATTTTTTTTGGTTGGAGGCCAGTGCCTTGGGTAGTATTGCAAGATGTTGTTCCTATTAAATGATATTAAAACAATGCCTGTTTTCTTCTTGTGATTTACATTTTCAGGGCACCTTTGATGATTACTTGGAATTATTCCTTCAGTTTGGTTATGTGAGCCTTTTCTCCTGCGTTTACCCATTAGCAGCTGCCTTTGCTGTGTTAAATAACTTCACTGAAGTTAATTCAGATGCCTTAAAAATGTGCAGAGTCCTCAAACGGCCATTCTCAGAACCTTCAGCCAATATTGGTGTATGGCAGGTAATTATATGAGAAAAAATTATTCCTTTCGGAAAAAAAATAGCAAAATGGGGCCTTATGATTAAAAATAAAAGTGCTAAGGAGAGATTTGGGAAAACTGGATGTTATCCTTTTTTTTGCCACAAACTAGCTGTGTGACTTAAGACAGTTATTAACTTTTTCTGGACCTTGCTTTCCTTGTTTTTAAAATTAGAGGATGGGGTGGGGGAGGTAAATTATAATTTCTATTACCCCTTTGAGATGTAAAATTCTGATAGTTTAGTAAAGTATCCAGCTGGGATTCCACCCGCTGGGTGATAATGAGGCCCTCCTCCTGCAATGTCAGTGCAAATCATGTTAGGAGCCTGGACTTCCACACTCACCCAGCAGTAATGAGGTTCCCTTTCCAGTTTCTGCTGGGATGATCTCAGATAAAGCGTAATGGAGAGTCAGACCTTTCTCTACCACCCAGCACAGCAGAGGCCACATGGGAGTGCACATGAGGCATTTGTACCCCTCCAAGCAAGAGGTTTCAGTGTGGGGGTTAGCAGGAAGCCAGAACTCTGATCCCTGTCCAGCAATAATAAGGATCCCATCCCCCACCTTGGGGGTCAGTGGTGTCCAAATGGGCAACCTAACAAGATGTTGTCCCTTCTTTCCCTGCTGGAGTAGTGTTAGAGGAACCAACTAAAACAAAAGTTTTAAATAAAAAATAGAATCTTATAACACCCAAAATGTCCAGGCTTCTATTAAAAAATCATCATACCAAGAACCAGGATGATACCAAAAAAAAAAAAAAAAAAAAAGTGATGCAATCAGTAGATGCCACCATCAAGGTGACAGATGTTAGAAATATCAGACAAAGATTTTAAAGCAGCCTTGATAAAATGAATACACCGAAAACAGATGGAGAAATAGAGTATCTCAGCAAAGAAATAGAAGATATAAAGGAGAGGCAAATAGATATTTTAGAAGTGGAAAATATAATTTAAAAACTCAGTGGATGAGTGCAGTAGCAGTAGCAGAATGGAAGGAGTAGAGGAAGAACAGAAACTGGAAAATAGAGCAATAGAAATGATTCAGTCTGAGTAGCAGAGAAAAAAATAGATTGACAAAGTAAATACAACCTCAGAGACCTGCGTGGCTATAACAAAAGATCTAATGTTCCTGCTGTCGGTGTCCCAGAAGGAAAGAAGAAAGGAGGGGCTAAAAAATATTGAAGTAATAGTGGCCAAAACTTTTTGATTTGGCAATAGAACTAAAACTACAGATTCAAGAAACTGAGTGAATTGAAAACAGAATAAGCCCCAAAAAGTCCATGCCAAACACATTGTAATTAAACGTATGAAAACTAAAGACAAAGAAAAACTTGAAAGCTCCAAGAGAGAAATGACATGCTATCTACCTATAGGGGAAGACAATTAGAATGACAGCCAGTTTCTCATCAGAAACCGTGGAGGCCGGAGTAAAGTGGCATAGTATTGTTCAAGTGCTTAAAGAAAAGTACTGTTAATACAGAATCCTATATTCAGAGAAAATATCCTTCGGGGATGAAGGGAAAATCAAAACACTCTCAGATGAAGGAAAACTAAGAGAATTTGTTGCCAGAAAACCTGTCCTAAAAGAATAGCTAAAAGAAGTTCTTTAAACTTAAGGAAATGATAAAAGAACTGACCTAGGAACATTAGGAAGAAAAACCACAGTAAGCAAAAATACAAGTAAACATAGTAGACTTTCCCAGTCTTGAGTCTTTAAAGTTATATTTGACAATTGAAATAGAAATTATAACACTATCTAATGATTCTAAATATATGTAGAGAAAATATTAAGAAAATCCTGTACAGAATGGTAAAGGGAGGTGAGGTTTCTCTACATCACTCAAACTGATAAATGATGACACAAGTAGACTGAATATGTATAAATAGACAGTCCCCAACTTACAATGGTTCAAATTATGATTTTTGACTTTACAGCGGTGTGAAAGCAATACATATTCAGTAGAAACCATACCTCAAATTTTGAATTTAGATCTTTTCCCAAGCCAGTGGTATGCAGTATAATCCTCTCTCCTGATGCTGGGCAGCAAGCTGCAGCTCCCAGTTAGCCACATAGTCACAAGGGTAAACAGCCGATACACTTAGAACCGTCTATACCCACACAACCATTCTGTTTTTTACTTTCAGTACAATGTTCAACAAATCACATGAGCTATTCAACACTTTGTGTTATTTAAAACAGGCTTTGTGTTGATTTTGCTGAGTGTTCTGAGTATGTTTAAGGTGAGCTAGTCTAAGCTATGATAATTCAGTAAGTTAGGCATATTAAATTCATTTTTGTCTTATGATATTTTTAGCTTACAGTGGGTTTTTTGGGACATAAGTCCTCCTAGGTCAGGGAAGATCTGCACAGACACACAATGTGTAATGAATGTAATATATATTACATATATAAAGCATATATATATATATAATCATATATGTATATAATATAATGCTTAGAGCAACCACTAAAAAGCTATATAAAAGATACACTCAAAAACAGATAAATCAAAATGTATTTCTAAAAGATGTTCAAATAACCCACAGTAAGGCATGAAAAATAAAACACAGAAATGAAAATACAAAGGGAACAAACAGAAAACAAAGAAATGGCAGACTAAAGTCCTAACATATCAGTAATTATATTAACTGTAAAAGGTCTAAAGGTACCAGTTAAAGACAGATATTGGTAGAGTGGATTAAAACACATAACCCAACTATATGCTGTCTGTAAGAAATTGAGTTCAAACATAATGGTATAAGCAGGGTAAAGGTAAAAGGAGAAAAAAAAAGCCATGTATGGAAATATTAGAAGAAAGCAAGAGTGGTTATATTAATGTTATATTAATTAATATATTAATTATAATATAACATATAATTATAATTAATGATATACTAATTAATAGAATAATATTATGTTAATAATAAAATAGACTTCAGAGCAAAGAAAATTACTAGAGAGGAACATTTTACGATGATAAAAGGGTAAAATTACCAAGAAGACATAGCAATCTTAATGTGTATGCCCTGAACAACAAAGTTTTAAAATATGTGAACCCAAAATTTATAGAACTAAAAGGAGAAATAGATAAATCCACAATGATAGTTGGAGACTTCAACATTCCTCTCTCAACAGTTGACAGAACAAGAGATAGAAAGTCATCAAGGGTATAGAAGAACTCAACACCACCACCATCATCAGATAACAGAATCTAATCCATGTTACAGAGCACTCTGCTCAACAATAGTAGAGTACACATTCAAGTGCTTACAGAACATTCATCCTGGGGAAACAAACTTTAAAAACTGAAATCATATATAGTATGTTCTCTGAAGTGGAATCAAACTAGATCAGTAATGTAAAGATAACAGGACAATCTCTAAACACTTGAAGACTAAATGACATTTCTTAATCATGGGTCAAAGAAGAAGTGTCAGGTGGACTCAAAAGACATCGAAAACAAAAAGACAGCGTATCAAAGTTGGTGAGACACCACTAAAGCAGTGGTGACAGGGAAATTTGTAGCACTAAATGCATACATTGGAAAAGAAGAAAATGTTTGAAACACTAATCTAAACGCCTACTCAGGAAACTGGAAACAAAGAACAAAAGAAACCCAAAAGCAGCAGAAAGGAGAAACTAAAGATAAGAGTACAAATTGATGAAATGAAAAACAGAAAAATAATAGAGAAGATTAATGAAATAAAGAGTTGATTCTTTGGAAAGATCAATATAGTTGGTAAACCTCTAGCAGGACTAAAATGAGAAAGAAGAGACAACCATTATAAAAATGAAACAACAGGTATCACTATAGACCCTTCAGATATCAAAAGTATAAAAGGGAATGTTATGAGCAACTCTACATATATAAATTTGACAACTTGGATGAAATGGACCAATTCCTCCAAAACACAAACTACCACAACTCGCCCAATATGAAATAGATCATTTGAGTAGCTCCATAACTGTAAGGAAATTGAATTTGTAATTACAAATTTCCAAAAAAGAAATGCCATGGCCCAAATGATTTCACTGGCAAATTCTATCATTTAAAGAAGAATTAATACCGATTTTACACAATTTCTTTCAGAAACAGAGGAGGAGGGCATATTTCCCAATTCATTTTATGAAGCTGGTATCAGTGTGATAGAAAACCAGACAGAGTTCAAAAAAGGAAAACAACAAACCAATATCCCTTGTGAATAAATATACAAAACATCTTAATAAACTATTAGCAAATATAATTCAGCAATCTATATAAAGAAGTATAGACCATGACAAGTAGCATTTAGTTCAGGGATGCCAGCCTGGTTCAATATTAGAAAATTAATCAGTGTAATCTACCATATTCATAGTCTGCATGGTTATATCAATCAATATATTTAAAGCATTTGACAGAATCCAGCATTCATTTTTGAAAACTCTCAGAAAAATAGAAACGGGGGTATTTCTTCAACTTGATAAGGAACATCTATTTTTTTAAAAAACCTAAAGCTGACATCATACTTATTGGTGAAAGACTGAATGCTTTCATTCTAAGATTAGGAACAATGCAAGGAGATCCACTGTCACTAGATTGAACATAGTACTACAAGTTCTAAGTAGCATAATAAGGCCAGTAATGTCTCCAGTTTACCAGTGAGGTCTCTAGCTGACCTCAGGTGTATGAACAAATCCAGTCAAAGTCAGCTGAGACCAGAATTGCTGGGATGAGCATATCCTAAATTGTCCACCCACAGAATCAGAGTTAAATAAATGGCTGTTTGAAGCCACAGAGTTTGGGGTTGTTGGTTATGTAGTAATAGCTAACTGATAAAGGAAGACTCAGTGCTTGTAATATATCAGTTCTCCTTTAATTTACAAATTTACAAATTAATCTACAAATTAATTCACAAATGTAGCACTATCCCAGCCAGTTTTTCTTTTAACTAGGTAAACTTATTGTCAAGTTCTCAGGGAAAAATAAGTGAAATAGAATAGCAAGAAAACTCTAAAGAAGAAAAGGGACACTTACCACATGTTAATACTTATTATATAAGTTCAGTTATTAAAGTAGTGTGGTACTGGTGCATTAGTAGACAGTCACACCAGTGGAACAGAATAAAAAGTCCAGAAATGCATTATATGGTATAGGTGAAATCTCAGTTCAGTAGGGGAAACAATTGTCCATTAATAGCATTGAGATAACTAGGTCTCCAGATAGGGGGGAAAAGTTTGCTCTTCTAAAGTTAAAAGAAGACAAAACAGGACACAGAATGGGAGAAAATATTCATAATACAGATGTCTTCCAGAGGACTTGTATTCAGATTAAGAATTCTTACAACTCAATAAGACATTTCAGCCAATAAAAACATGGACAATGATTTGAAGGAGTACTTCACCAAAAAAATATGCGAATCATACGTATATGATTTCAATTATATGACATCCTAGAGCATACAAACTAATTTATAGTGACAAAAAGCAGATCAGTGTTTGTTTGGGGCCAGGTGTGAAGAGAAGGATAGATTACAAAGGATCATGAGGAATCTTTTGGGGGAAATGGAAATATTCTGTATTTTGTTTGTGGTAGTGATTTCACAGGTAAATACATCTATCAAAACTTGATGAAGTGTATACCTTCAATGGATGCAGTTTATTACACAAATTATAACTCAGTATAACTGTATTTGAAAATCACATGTTATGATAAATGTATTAAAAGTGCAGGAAGACAGGCAGTCTTATATGCTGCTGATAGGAGGGTGAACTGGTCAACCCTATGGAGTGCAGCTTGGCATATTTGTCAAAATTATGAATGCATGGTACCTTTGACTCAGGTAATCCATGTTTAGGAATTTATCCTAATTTCACACTTGTTAAATGATGTATTTACATGAAAACTAATTGGAGCATTGTTTGTAATAGCAACTAATGCCCACCAATAAGGAAATAGTAAAATAAATTCTGATACATCTATGCAATAAAATATTTAAGCAGTTGTGACAAAGAATGAAGGAATTCTTTGAGTTCTGATGTAGAATATTCTTCAGGACATTTTAAGTGACAGAAGCAAGGGACCTGACATTAAGGGTAAGAAAGGGTATATACAGTCAAGTTTGCTTATATTTGTATATAAAGTATGTGGAAAGGTACAAAAGAAATATAATAATAGCGATCATTTTGTAGGGAGAACAGGAACTGGTGAGAAGGGGGGAAGGGGTACACGAGGGCAAGGAGACTCTTCACTTTATACTTAGAGTGTTTCGGTTCTGAGCTATGTGAATATAATTATTAAAAAATGAATAAATAAAAAATTTAAGTTATTTAAAAAGAAAGTAAATAAAGTCCAGAGTAGGTTTGTTGTAAAGAAAACTATGGAAAAACAATTAGATTACACAAAGGATTCCTAAAATAAAAGATAGCAGAAATTCTCCATGAGACAAGAAATTTATTCAGTTTGGATCTAATCGTGTTTCATTTTGCTTCTTTTAAAATTCTAATTTCTGGGGCTCCTGGGTGGCTCAGTTGGTTAAGTGTCTGCCTTCGACTCAGGTCATGATCCTGGGGTCCTGGGATTGAGTCCCTCATTGGGCTTCTTGCTCAATGGAGAGCCTGCTTCTCCTTTTGCCTGCCTCTCCCACTGCTTGTGCTCTCTCTCTCTCTGACAAATAAATAAATAAAATCTTTAAAAAATTTTTTAATTTTAATTTCTAATAGTAATTGTATTTCTTAGAATTAGTGGGACATTTTTCTGATTTTTTTTAAATTAAAATGCAGTTGACATATAGTGTTACATTTGTTTCAGGTATGCAACTTAGTGACTGGATAAGTCTATACGTTATGCTGTGCTCCCCACAAGTTAGCTACCATCTGTCCCCATACAATGCTGTTACCACTGACTGTAATCCCTACGCTGTGCCTTTCATCCCCATGACATCTTCATTCTGTAACTGGAAGCCTATATCTCCCACTCCCAGTGGTTAAGTTATTAAGTAGTGGTCAAGTGTTACACATTAAAGGAAAGAGCGAGCAACCAAGCAGTGGTCACAACATTTCCACAGTCAGTTCTCAGTACTGTGCTCTGTGAGACTCCTCATGGGACCTTGGATCAGGTTGTTAAGTAGCTCAGCGGGGCATCTGTATTTTTCTAAAGTCCCACAAATAAATGCCACTAGAAAAGGATCACTGTTACGGTGCTTCAGGTATAGCTGAACCAAATGTGGTATGTGATGTGTCAAAGTAGGGCAGTCACAAAATAAATTCTATTTGAAATCATAGTGAAACATTTTTTCTGGTGGCCCCATTTTAGATTCCCTATAGATATGAGTAGAGTAACTTGAACAGCGTACTCCTCTAGGATGTATTCCAAATTCTCAGGTCCCTGGCCACCTCCAGTTGGGAAGGTAGAACATACTGCTTTGGCTATTCAAGCCAAAAGTATCTAAAATACCTTATAACAGTGTGGCTTTTTTAAGCTAAAGAAAATCACAGCATTATAGAGAAAAAGCTTAAAATGTACTTGGAATATTTAGAACGGGGAAAGGCTTTTCCTTTGATTTTGGATAATACAAAAAAAGGATGAGGAAATATGGAAGAGGTCATTGTGGTTTTTAATTTCACATTTTTTTTCACTTTTAGCTGGCTTTTGAAACAATGAGTGTCATATCTGTGGTCACCAACTGTGCTCTAATTGGAATGTCACCACAAGTGAACGCCCTCTTCCCAGAGTCAAAATTGGACCTCATTTTGATTGTAGTAGCAGTGGAGGTAAGTGAAAATTTAAACCTATTTTAAATAGTCTCCACATCAGATGCCTCTGTTAAAGCAGAGATGACCTAAAGCAGTGATGTCCCCGACTGTCAATGACTAGCAATTTGGTGACATGAATTTCCTGGTTCAGGTAATGGAGAGACCTAAGGTTTGAGGCTGTGCATTCCTGGTTGTTGCCCAGGTATGAAAAAGTCACCATGGTGGGGATGGGAAAGTGACCTTTCCAGCCATTCTACTGACCTGTCTAATGCTGAGTAGATAAATCCTATTTGAAATAGATTTCTGTAGATTTAATATTTTTTTTAGTCTCTTCGAGGGATCTGTCATACCTACTTTCTTATTAAGCAAATAAATCCTAAGAAATGCTTTTTGATTAACAGTTTAAATTTCATTAGCAACAGGTGTAGAATTCATTGTGAAACTAAAACACCAAAATGTAATGTATAACAGGAAGACTCATAATTTCCCATGCAGAGTACAAGTAGGCTGTTTGTGTACTTTTTAGGTTTTCATTTTATGTTTCTGAATATAGCTTACTGTAACATTTTAAAAATTCAGTACTGACCAATTGGAAAGGGAAGAATTTGCAGGAATTTTTTTATTGCTAGTGATTATTATTGTCAGGAAGATTCTGACCTTTCATTTTTAGATATTTGAAAAATAGAACAGTTGTGGAAAGTTATTAAAGCAGAATTTAGCAGGATTATAGAGCAGCCCTAAGGCCTCAGGCCTGAGGGCTGACTAGAAATGAAACTGGACTTGTACATTTCCAGTAGTGGCTAAAGAAATAGATTGTGCTTTGCTGTATTTACTCTTCCTGTGTATTTAATAGGAATCTGTGTTCATGGTAGATGCTATATGCAGAATATGCGTTTGGAGAATGATTTTAGACAGCAGTGAGTAGGAGGGAAAGGGAATGGTTCTAGCAGAGAAAAGTAGGTCTGTTTTGAATTTTAAGAGTTGAATAGGATTTTGGAGAGCTATTTGCAAGGCTGATTTCTCACCTGTGTGAGAGATCAAAGCAGGTATCTTAGACAGGGGATGGCCAGCTGCCCAGGCTCATAGCGTACCTTCTTGATATAGGATATGGCCCTTAACTTTGCCAATACATCCAGAGTTAATTAGGCTTTAGGGACTGACTTACACTTAAAACTAATGAGACTCACAAAGGACTGACCAGAATGCCAGGCAATTAATTTACCATAAGGAGATCTTTCCCAATGACTTTAACAGTTGTTTTCTTAGAAGATACCCTGGTAAAGTGGGAACCACAGCAAGAGGAGTATGTCTTGAAAAGCAAGGAAATGGAAAGCCTGAAAACCATCCCTTCCCCCAAATTGAGCAGAGCTCTGCTGTGAGCCAGTGCTGGGTGTGTTCACTGCCTACCTCTTGATTTTGCCTTCACTTTCTCTAGATTTCTGGTTAGTCCAGTGTTCTGTATATTCCCAATGCTATTGCTTTCTTTTGTACTTGGTGATGCCTTAACATCAGATATCCAGGGCCTGGCTCTTCTCACTTGATTTGGGAGATTGCCTGGCCTACGGGAGTGTTCTTGCAGGTGGCACTCCTCCAGGGGTTTGCTGGCCTGCGTGGGGTGGGGCCACAGTATTTCTGTGGTGTTTGGTTAGAGTGTCTAAAAGTTTGGTCTTGCTTGGCTGCCCCTGTGCTGGCCCTTCGGCTAGAGAGCAGGCTTTCTTGCTTGTTTTTTGTCTGTGCCCATTGGCATTTCTGGTTCTGCTCCCTCAGCCCTTAGTCTGGCACATACGAGGTAAAGAGGAATCCCTGGGAACTCACCGCCATGAGCTCCTTAGGGTCCTGGGGTCCCTGGTGAGTCTGCTTTCTTCTTTCTACCCTTCAGAGTTTTCTTATGTTTATTTTATGTATAATGTCCATGGCTTTTAGTTGTACTTAGCAGGAGGAGTAGTGGCAAGTATTTCTATTCCATCTTCCCAGAAGCAGAAGTCCTCACTTTTTTATTCCTTTTTTTTTCTTTCCCTTTTTAGCTTAGGAACTTTGCACTTACAAAGTCCTTTCTTTGGGCCTAGATAGCACACTTTAATTCCTTAGGTCCCAGCTCAGATGTCACTGGGCTCCCAGCCTTTTCTGATCCCTCCATCTCCGCTGGATCTCTTCTGTTGGTCTCTCAGGAAGCCTTGATTGGCCTTCCTTACGGTGATTATCCCACTTAATTGCCTTGCATTTTCTGGTAGGCGTGTTTATGTAACGTCTGTTTCTCCTGTGCACTGTCAGCTTCAGAACAGCAGGGATGATGTCGACTTTTCTATCCAGTAAATCAAACTACTAGTGAGCTAGAATAGTAACTAAAACATGGTAGGTAAGCATTTCAGTGTTGACACGAATGTGGAATTAATAAATTAAGCTTTTAGAAAGGGAAATGGGCATTTCTTTTTTTATTTAAAAGGGAAAAAATGGATATTGTTCTTTTTTGATAAATTTATATTCAGTATTATATGACTATATTTGTGTATAACATTTTCTAAGTTCTGCTTATAGAACACAAAGTGGCAAGTGCTCATTTTTTTTATTCCTTAATTAAATTATACTCAGTATTGAGAACTTCTATGTATATGACACTGAATCTGGTGCTAAGGAAAGACAAAGCTGTCTTTTTATTTTTGTCCTCAAGAACTCTGCTTCTTAATGTAGCTGAGAAGATGTGCACATTTTACACACACACACACACACACATACACACACACATGTATGCAGATCCCCATAAACAGACACGGTTAAATACTTCTACTAGAGATGCAACTAGGAGGTAGAAATGACACGCCAAGTCAATGATCTGTGGTAACATGGAGGAGGAGAATCAGGAATAGCATTCAAAGACAGGAGGCCCTTTGCTGTCTTTCTTCTTCCTTTGGTGAGGCCTGAGGCCTCCTTATGGCATATTTTGGGAAAGCTTGGATGTGCGTTAATCCTGATTTCCCAGAGCAGTTTAAAAGGCAGTTTCTTCCATGCTAGTAGAGACTTCTCACTGAATTCTGAGTGTAATCTACTCCTAAGTTAAGGATACCTGGCAACCTGAGGGTGAGAGACAAAAGCACAGCCACAGGCTGATTTAGAGTCAGTCATGACGTAGAAGAAAGTTTTCAGCTTAGAATTAATCCACGGGGCGCCTGAGTGGCTCAGTCGTTAAGCGTCTGCCCTCGGCTCAGGTCGTGATTCCAGGGTCCTGGGGTCGAGCCCCGCATCGGGCTCCCTGTCAGCGGGGAGCCTGCTTCTCCCTCCCACTCCCCCTGCTTGTGTTCCTGCTCTCACTATCTCTCTCTCTGTCAAATAAATAAAATCTTTAAAAAAAAAAATTAATCCACATAGGCCAGAATGCCAGCAACGTTTTAGGCTATTTCATTACCAGCTAGACTTACACCTCTGGGCAAGAAGTATTTCCTTTGGTTACCAAGATTAAATCCTTATAAGATAAAAGTGATCTTTTTTTGTGTATTGGTTTTTTTTTTAACAAGATAACTCATTAGAATGTTATCAGTATTTATTAATATAGAGATCATTACTAATATTGAGATCACCCAGAGTTAAGTCAAAGGGTGAGGGGGTGTGAAGAGATGGTAACTAAATGTATACTGCTCCTTTCATTTTTTTTTTTTTATTGTGATAAAGTAAACATAACATGAATTTACCATTGTAACCTCTTTAAAAATTTTTAACTGTGGTAAAAAACACGTGATATGAAATTTACCCTCAACCACTTTTAAGTGTACAGTTCAAGACATTAACTATTCAAGACATTAACTATTATCTATTAAACAATAACTACCCCCCCCCCATTCTCCAGCCCCGGTAACCACCATTCTGCTTTTGTTCCTATGAATTTGATTACACTAGGAATCTCATATAACGGAATCACCCAGTATTTGTCCTTTTGTGTCTAGGTTGTTTCCCTTAGCATAAGGTCTTTAAGGCTCATCAGTGTTATAGCATGTGTCAAAATTTCCTTCCTTTTTAAGACCGAATGGTATTCCATTGTATGTATATACCACATTTTATTTATCCATTCATCAGTCAATGGACATTCGGGTTGCTTCTGGATTTTGGCTATTGTGAATAAAGCTGCTGTGAACATGCATATACAAATAATCTGTTTGAGTCCCTGTTTCACTTCTTTTGAGTATATAGCCAGAAACAGAATTTTTGGATTGTATGGTAATTCTGTGTTGAATTTTTTGAGGAAATACCATACCATTTTCCATAGTAGCTACACCATTTTACGTTCCCATCAGCAATGCACAAGTGTTCCAATTTCTCCACATCCTTGTCAACACTTGTTATTTTCTGTTTTTTTTTTTTTAAATAATAGTTACCCTAATGGGTATAAGGTAGTATCTCATTATAGTTTTGTTTTCCATGATAACCAGTGATGTTGAGCATTTTTCGTGTGCTTTTTGGCCATTTGTGTATCTTTTTTGGATATCTGTCCAAGGTCTTTGCCTATTTTTGAATTGGGCTGTTTTTTGGTTGTTGATTTGTAGGGGTTTTTTATATATTCTGGATATCAATCCCTTATTAGATGTATGACTTGTAGATATTTTCTCTCATTCTGTGGGTTACCTCTTTACTCTGTTGATACTACCTCTTGATGCACAGAAGTCCAGTTTTTCTACTTCTTCCCTTTTTTGCCTGTGCTTTTGGTGTCATATCCAAGAAATCATTGCCAAATCTAATGTCATGAAGCTTTTGCCCTATGTTTTCTTCCAGGAGTTTTATAGTTTTAGGCCTTAAGTTTAGGTCTTTGATATATTTTAAGTTAATTTTTGTATATAAGTGTCCATATTCCTTCTTTTGCATGTGGATACCCAGTGTTCCCAGCATCATGTTGAAAAGACTCTCCTTTCCCCAGTGAATGGTGTTGGCACCCTTGTTGAAAATCATTTGACCATATATGTGAGGGCTTATTTCTGGACTCCCTATTCACTTCCATTGGTCTATATGTCTGTCTTTTTTTAAACCACTTTATT